GGCTCAATCCCCAGTTCCAAAAATACAAAAACAAAACCAAACAAAAAAACCAAAAACCCACCAATTTTAGTCTTTAATAAAAACATCGATCCAGGTCTACTTTCATGACTTCTTGGACAAACATAGCACTTAGAACTTATTTTGATGAATGCAACAATGACAAAATTTGATTAAGACTTTTTTTTCCCCTGGTACTGGGGATTGAACCCAGGAGCACTCAACCACTGAGCCATATCCTGAATATCTTTATTATATTTTATTTAAAGATAGGGTCTCACTAAGTTGCTTAGACCTTGCTAAATTCCTGAGATAGGCTTTGAATTCAAAATCCTCTTTCCTCAGCCTTCTGAGCTGTTGGGATTATAGGCATGTGCCACTGTGCCCAGTTGATTAAGACCTCTTATAGACAAAAAAAAATATGCTATAAAAAATTCAAATAAAGTTGGGTGAGGTGGTAAACTCCTGTAGTTCCAGTGACCCAGGAGCCTAAGGCAAGTTAAAGGCCAGCTTGGGCAACTTAAAAAGACTCTATCTCAAAATAAAATAAATAAAAAGGGCAGGGAATATAGCACAGTGGCAAAGCACCCCTGGGTTTAATCCTCAGTGGGTGGGGGTGGGATCAGATAGATTAAGGGAAAGAAGACTTTGTTAAGTAAATTCTCAGATTACTTTAAATATATTGTCCTTCTTTATTTTGATATTGTAAACATTTATGCCACACTAGCTTTGTGATTTTGGAAAATTATTTCATCTTTTAAGTAATCAATTTCTTCACCTTTAAATTGGGAATACTAATAGAACTTATCTGATAAGGCTTGTGACTAAAAGTACCTTAGTATATGCAGAGATTGCTTAGCACAATGCCCAACATAAAGTGAGTAGTTAAATGGAAATGTTAGTTATTATTAAGTCTCTGGACAATGGAAGTAATTCCTAAGGCCCCAGGTGGAGCTCAAAGGATAGAAAGACAACTCAGAGAAGCTTTCCTGGAGGACATGAGGATGTCTGATGTGAGTCTAGAAAGAAGAGCAGGAACTAGGAAGAGCCAGGTGGAGGAGATTGTGTAGGTTTGTATGTGACAGAGGATGGGGCTGAGGGAAGTGGTTAAAGAGGGAGGGTAATGTTTTCCAGGAAGATGGAGCTCTGTGAACAAAGATGGTGCTCTGGAAAAACGGTAGGCAATTTAATACAGCTAAAGCTCTTTTGTGAGCTGGAGTGTTAATAAGTGATAGTTGAGAGCTCAATAATAAATAAGCTCACCCAGGGCTTGAGAAATGCAGTGAATCAAGGTCAGGTACTCAGATGGGTAGTTTAGGATAAAGGTCCAGAAAGGAGACAAGTTTCCTGACTGCCTTTTCTTGTTTACCACTCATCTAAGGATCATGATACTGGTTGGGATGTTTTCTGATACATTCCAGGTAGGAAAAAAGCAGCACTGGTGCTAGAGGTGCAGAGAGAGAGGCCATGCCAATTTCCTAATAAATATTTGGGAGTGGAGAGGCAGGAGAGAGTTCAACAAACAAAGAAAGCAATACAAACTCTGGAACTGGGTTCATGAATTAAAGGTTCTGCAGAAATGCAGGATGTTAGATAGGCATTTCAGAAATGTTTCTGTGGGTTATAAGCTCAGTTTCCCTTGCTATTATTTAAGAAATAAAAGTTTGAAATTTCTCTAAGATTATCTTGGCGTAACTGAACTGAGCTCCTTTGTATTCAAAGGAAAGCCAAATGGAGCCTCAGTTTGATTATGGTCATTAAAGGAAGCATTGGCTAAATAGTAGCAGTACTAATACAGTATGATAACAATCATCCAGATTAACTATTATTACTGCACTGAGTATTAGTGACAATGAATACTGCTCAATTCTAATAGATAGGTACAATTATTATCTCCATTTTAGATAATAAAATTGAGGGACAGAATGGTTGGATTGATTTTCCTAGGGTCACACAGCTAGAACTTGGTGAAGCCAAACATTGAACCTAGAAACTCGAATTTACACAAGATTTTAAAGGACAGCAGATTTTAAAGGACAGGTAGAGGGTAACATTCAAAACCAAAAATTTTAAAGGACAGACAGGTAGAGGGTAACATTCAAAACCAAAATTTTTTTTATTACCTAAATTTTTTATTTTCTCTGTAAAAAGAGCAGTCAGTATTAATGTAGCTATCTTAGGCACTTCTCCTTTTAAGATGGAAACTTGTTGCAGTGTATGTATTTTAGAGTAGAGCTGTAGGGGTGGAGGTGGGGCACTGCTTTTTCCCCCCTTAGAACAAAACATATTTTTTCCTTGTCCATGCACAAAGTACCCAGCACAATGTGGACTTTGAATAAGTGCTGGCTGAATTGATATGCTCTATAATACATTTTGCAAGGCACTTGTGTGGATGACTGCTCAAGCATGGTCACACAAAGATGCCTGCCTTTATAACCCCAGGTTCGTTGATGAGGGTTAGTCTATTTCATTGTCTCCTAATAGAAATGCATGTTGTTTCCTCCTCCTTCTCTTCCTCCTCCTCCTCCTCCTCCTCTTCTTCTAATACAAAATGCTTGATTTGCAAGGCCTTTAATTTGAAATAAAGTCATAAAGAATAGCTAAAGAATAATTGCTTTTAGTAGCATTTTGCAGGCCTAGTTGAGGATGTGTTATTCATTTAAGTTTTGGTGGGCACATTGTATCACCATTCCCTTGGTTCCTCCCTTTCCCTGGTCCTCATGTTTCCCTAGTTTGTTGGACTTCTACCCTAGAATCAAGAGTTGAAGAGGAGAGCTGGGCACAGTGGTGCTCTGTAATCCCAGTGACTGGGAGGCTGAAGCAGGAGGATCACAAGTTTGAGGTTAGCCTCAGCAACTTTTGTGAGACCATGTCTCAAAATAAAAAGTTAAAAAGGATGGGGATGTAGCTCAGTGGTAATGTGCTCCAGAGATCAGGCCCTGGTACCAAAAAAAAAAAAAAAGAAAGAAAAAGAAAAAAAATTGAGGAAGAGGAAGCTTACTGGGTCTACCCACACTGTAATTTGCCAGGGGTGTGTGTGTGTGTGTGTGTGTGTGTGTGCATGTGTTACTGGGGACTGACCTTTACCACTGAGTTACATTCCCAACCCTGTTTTCTTTTGGTACCAGGAATTGAACCCCGGGGTGCTTAACATCCATATCCTCAGCCCTTTTTATATTTTATTTAGAGACAGGGTCTTGCTGAGTTGCTTAGGACCTCAGTAAATTGCTGTGGTTGGGCTTTGAACTCTTAATCTTTCTGCCTCAGCCTCCCAGACTGCTGGGATTACAGGCATGCACCATCACACCCAGTTTCCAACCCTTTTTATATTTTATTTTGAAATAGGATCTTGCTAAATTGCTGAGAATTTGTAATCCTCCTGCCTTGAATTTATAATCCTCCCTCTTCAGCCTCCTGAGTTACTGGGATTACTGGCACACTGCCACGGGTCCCAGCTAGATTCACTTTAAACTCTTCTGCCTTCCCTAGCTGAATGGACCTCCATGTGGATAGGGTCTCAGATTTTTAAGGTATAAAAGATCCCAGAGTTTAGGTGTACATATCCATGGACTCTTGGATGTATTAGGAAACAGTGAAGAGAAAGATGTATTTGTATTTATGTGTAAATATTCAAGTAGGATTTTCTATCTCATTTGGTAATTTCTTTTAGGGAGATGCTGCACCATCACTTATAAAAGATACCAAATACTTTGCTGCATATCTTTTAGTAAAATTTAAAAATGAAGATACTTAATGTAATGTTTAAACTTCAAATTGGGAGATACATATATATTATGTACTGGTTATTACCTTAATGCATATTGTGATTGAGATTGAGGATTTTTTTTTTGTTTGTTTGTTTCAGAGATAGGGTCTCCTTGTGCCGTTCAGCCTGATTTTGAACTCCTGAGTTTAAGGGGTTTTCCAATCTCAGCCTCCCAAATGCTGAGCTTGCAGGGACGCAGCATGCCCCTGCACCTGATCCATGATTGAGTTTTAATAGTCACTAGGGAAAACTTTGAAATTACTGTTCCAGTACTTGTAAAATAAGATCCACATAACCTATTTATATTTTATCCTTTTCATCAAATTCTTTAACATGTGATGCACAACATGGGGAAGTCACTTCTCTGAGCAAAATTTACTCATCATTTTATCTGCCATTCATTCACTGATGCGCCATTTTATTGTTTATTATTTGCTTGGCAAAGTGGTAACAACTGGTAGTACAAAGAAAAATGTCAGGGTTTTTGTCCTGCAGAAGTCTTTCAGTCCAGTGTTTTCAACAGCAAGGGAACTACCAGGGGCCTTGTTTTTGTGGTGCATATTCCGTCCTCCAGCTCTCAAAGTCTGTCTATCCAAAGTCATTGAATCAGTTTTCTGAAATTATACAACTTCAACTAACAAACCGGGAATTCGACTATTTTGATTTCCTTTAAAACGATTACTACCGATTCTCTGCCTCACCAATCTTTTTGTCAGCCACGGCAATTCCGTTTTAACACACCTCGCTCGTGAGAGGCTGTGCTAGCACTCTGGAACTTTATAATTATGTTCAGTGTTTGTGTGTGGGATGGAATGGGAAGGAAAACGACAAATAATTATAGTTTCGCTGGTGAGAGTCTGCCAGGCTAAGTAGCAGAAATAGGAGAAGCGGATAAAGCTTTCAGCATTCTTAAAAGTCGTAGGGAAGTTCCTGGCACCACCGGGGGACGTGGGGTGCCTTGCCACTCCTGTGAACGCGGGAGGACACTTGACCATCGCTTGACCTCAACTCTGCGTTCTCGGTTTGAGGCCATCGTCAAGGAGTACTGCCGCTAACCCGGGCTCTAAGGGACTGAGACGGCACGGGAGCCCCGCTCTTGGGACAGGCTGCGACAGCGCGCACGGAAGTGCTTTTGGCTCTCTCCAGTCGGAGAACGACTCTTCCCCTCCAACTTCCTCCCGGGGCTGGGCTGCTCGGCCTCCCCAGCCGGCTCCTCCTCCTGCCCTGCCTCCTCCCACTGCCCGCCGCAGCTCTCAGGCCCGAGGTGCGGCGCTCACCCTGGCAGTCCCCAGCCCGTGACGCTGCGTTGAGCCGAGCTCAGAGGAGGCGAGGGGCACTCGCGCTGCCGCCCCCGCCTCGCGCACCCTGCGCCCCACTTCCAGGGCAGCCACTTGGAAACAGCCCCCTTGCCTCTCCCAGCGCTGTCCCAGGCAGGCTGGGAAGCGAGCGGCCGACAAGTTTGGGCGCGCGCGGGCGGCGGGCCGCTGGCACCGTGCGCCCCGGGAGGGGCGGCCGCCGCTCCAGGCTCGGCGTCCCGGGCGCACTTTGGCTATGGATTCTCCCGTGCGACGGCGGCTGCACCTTCGCTCCCGCCGCCTCCTGCTTCTTGTCTCCGGACTCCTACTGCCTCTCTGCGGCGCCTTCAACCTAGATGTGGACAGTCCCGCCGAGTACTCTGGCCCGGAGGGAAGTTACTTCGGCTTCGCGGTAGATTTCTTCGTGCCCAGCGCGTCTTCGTAAGTGGCGGCACTTGGAACGCGAGCCCACCCCCTCCCCCACCGCGCACCCACCCTGCGTTTCCCCACCCCCCGGGCTGATCTCCCAGACGATCCCGGCGTCTGTGCGTTCCAACCACACCAACTCCGGGGTGGCTTATATCCTGAGTGGGTGAACGCTCGACACCCAGTTCCATCTCTTAAAATTGGTTGGGGGCAGAAGGAGAGAGAGCTTTGAAGCAGATCTGTTCTTAAAATTTAGGAAAAGTGGGAAATCAACAAAGACTGGTCCTGCCGGACTTCGCCCAGCTTCTGTTTTGGTTAATTTCATCTCCCAACTTCTTTTTCTCCTGTACCAGTTAGCCCTTTTCTGCTTCACAGATTTAACACCCATTCTTTTCGCCCTCCCCCACTCTTTCCGCCTCTTAGTCTGATTCTGTTTCTTCTCACTCCTTTTCCAGACATTCTGATGACTAAAGTGACCATATTGTTGTATTAAATTCATTGTGTCTTATCTTTGGGACTGTCAGACATTTGAGCATTTGAGTTGAACAGATGAATTGAATGTGTCATTTGCGCTTTTTATAGTGATTCACTATTTAGGTCATTGTTCAGAAAGAACAAGAGTGTTTGCTGAGTTTTCACTCGCTGCAGGTCACTTGAATGCTGCATTATTTTTGTAATTCAGTTATGTTTTCAAATTGGCAACGTTCCGCTTTGCAACGACCCTCAGGATTTGAAACAGTTATATATTCATTATTGGATTGCAGATTGTCTCTGACTCTACTGAACACTGACATCATTCTCACCCCCACCCCACCCCCACTCCACTCCCATTTTAGCCTTAGAAATACTGATTTAACGAGTGTTCACTGCATAAGTTATGATGTTTAAATCTTTTCAAGAGGGATACTGTACATTCGGATCTAAGTTTTTAGAAGTTTTAACATATTTTTGTTTCTACGTTTTCTCTGTTAGGTATCCTTTTTGGGGAGGTTAGGAGGAAGGGTACAGGATAATTTGCATGGTCAGTACTTAAGACCATTTTCCCAATACATTCATGCCTAATTTGAGGGTGGTCTACATATTTTTCTGTGACTGTTAGGATATTCTTTAGGATTTGTTCTTGTCATTTTTTTTTTTTTCTGAATGTTACTGAGTATCATTCATTTTGATAACAACTTTTGCAACAATACTTAGATTGGATGCAGTTAGTGGAAACTAGGCATTGTTTCATGTAGCAGACTTAGATTTGTTTGTCATTTCCAGTCACAGTGGTTCTTGTATGACCTGAGCACAGATTTTTCCAAAGTGGTAAAAATGATAGTAACTTCAGATAGCATTTACAACTTCACATTCTATGTAATGTTTTTTAGGGGAGGAGGGAATACCAGAGATTAGATGAAAGGGCCTCACATATGCTAAGAATACTCTCTACCAGTGTGCTACTTCTTGATTTCATCATTTTAGCTAGTTTTACCATTTAAAAATTTTTGTTCACAGATATTTTAAAGTACATATCCTTTGACAGTATAATACATTTCAGTTGCTTCTAAGGATGCACCTTTAGATTTAATTTGTTTAGAATTTCTGATAATTAAATGTATAATGTGTCTTTTGTGAAAAGCAAGCATTTAAATACTTCAAAACTGATGGAGTGTTTTGCAGATATTCTGCAACAATTTCCTTGAGTTCAGTGTAGGGATACTTGACAAGATGACACACTTTTAAGTATTATTATTATGGAAAACACAGTAATATTTACTATTGATATTTGCTGTTGCAAGGCACGTGGCTAATCTTTGGCCAGTCATTATGATCATTGAATATACTAGGACTTCATACATCATATGACCTCATATGTTTATATAATCTCACCTGTTGGCCTTTAATGGTAACCTAAAATTGAAATAGGGTTTAAGTTCATGTAATATTTTAAAGTATTCATCAGCAATTTTGTTACTAGTAGAGTAGGAAACCCTAGTATTAAAATTAAATTAAAAAATGAAGCAAATAGAAACCCTTTGAAGTTTTTTTAAGAATAAAATATATATAAACAAAGGTTTCTACTTATCTTTTCAGATTAAACACAGATTAATTTTAAAATTATGCTTAATTTTGTAGAAACACACTTTTAAATTTAATAAGCATTGAATCCAAGGTACATGGGATGTCATTTACTATATTGCTAGTTGGATTTATTATTGTTATTTGGTGTTATCATAAACTAATAAGAGGGAAAAACACATAATAAAAGGTATTTGCTATTTAAGGAATTTCTTTCCTGCATAGGAGGAAGAATTAGTGAGCAAGCAACAGTTATGAAGTTTACTGCTGCCCCTTATAGTTTAAAGTGTCCAAATATCTTATGCAAGCTATAGAACTGTTTTATACCTTATTTTTATTTCTTCTTCTTTTTTAAACTAAGATAAAGATGAACTAAGATACACAAGTAGTAGAAAAATTATTATTCAATTATCTCCATATTATTGTTGTTGTGGGCCGATGTTTATTAAAGAGAAGAGAAAATGAAGTACTAAGCAGAAATGTTAAGGTTGCCACTCAAAAGATTGCTCCATAGATGAGTCTTAGGTTTGAAGTTGGAATTTCTAAAAATAGTGATTAAAAATCATGATCAATAAAATATTAGCATTGCATAGTTTTCTTTTTGTACGCATTGACTTATGGATACAATGTTGTTATATTTACATAAAATTGAAAGATCGGATTAAGGCCAAGAACTGTAATCCTGTTTTTCTTTTTTTTAAAATATTTTTTTAGTTGTAGATGGACACGATACCTTTATTTTATTTTTATGTGGTGCTGGGGATTGAACCCAGTGCCTCTCATGTGCAAGGCAAGCACTTTACCACTGAGGTACACAACCTCAGTCCAATCCTGTTTTTTTTGTGTGTGTGCAGAATAATTGGAGAAATCAAAAGCTGCATACTAGGTTTGAGTATTATAATGATATTTTACATTGGTAAATCTATTTTACAATTTGCAAAGCACATTTACTTATATCTTATTTCAGTACAAACCACCACGGGAAGTAGGGGAAAGGCCATGAACTAGTTCATATAGACAGGGAAATAGAAGCCAAGAGTTTAGTCTTAAGTTATTTGAGCAGCTTGGTGTGGGGTGGGGATAAGGGAGGGAGCAAAAGATAGCCTGTGTAATTCAAATCCTACTTACTTTATCTCTTGAAATACTGCATCCTCCCACCTCTTCCCAACCCCTGCCTGCTGGGGATCAAACCCAGGGTTCTATGAATGCTAGGCAAGATCTCTACTATTGCACTATATCTCCAGCTTACTGCTCTCCACCACCCAACTTTTTCCACAAATAATGATTTTTCCCCCCTTAAAGTTAATTGAGCACAGGAAGGGTTTACCACTGAGCTCTTTCTCCAACCCTTTTAATTTTTTATTTTGAGACAGGGTTTCCTTAGGTTGCTTAGGGCTGTGCTAAGTTGCTGAGACTGGCCTCAAACTTTTGATCCTCCTACCTCAGGCTCCCAGGTTGGGATTACAGGTTTGTGCCACTGTGCTTGGCTCCACATAATGAATTTTTTTTTTAAATATTTATTTTTGTAGTGTTAGGTGGACACAATATCCTCATGTTTATGTGGTGCTGAGGATTGAACCCAGCGCCTCACACATGGTAGTCAAGCACTTTACTAATGAGCTACAAGCCCAGCCCCACATGATGAAGTTTTAAAAAAAGCAATTTCCTTATGTATTCTCAAAATAGTATGTCATAAGGGTCTCATTTTACATACATATTTACATATGTACACATATTCATTCTCCAAGTAGTATATAAAGTTCTCATTTTAAATATATGTGTGTATATATATATATATATATACATATGTATACACATACATACATATATAAATGGTGTTGTACATTATACACACACACACACACACACATAAGTAGTGCTATATAGCACTAAATTCAATTTTTTTTTTTCCTCATTAGAAACAAATGGATTTGGGCTGGGGTTGTGGCTCAGTGGTGGAGCGCTTGCCTTGCATGTTTGATCCTCAGCACCACATAAAAACAAATAAAACAAAATAAAGGTATTGTGTCCATCTACAACTAAAAAAACATTTTTTTTTTTTAAAAAAAGAAACCAATGGCTCTTTTTTATAGTTACTGTGTATTACAGGACAAGGGATGGATGAGTATTTTATGGAAGGAGAATTTACTTTTAAACCTCTGGAAGTCCTGACATGGCAATACCTGGAAAGTTTTAAAACAAAACTGCTGCCCTGGTGTCATCTCAGATCTAAAAGTAGAGCTCAGTCGTGGTATTCCAGTGGGTTGTGGCTCATTTCTCCTTGATGAGCCCATCTTAATTCATTCTGACTAAATGTGAGCTCTTTTTTACCAAGAGATCTCCGCGGTTCCTCTGCTTCTATTAGTGGTGCCATCATTTTCACTGTTGCCCTGGAAATAATTCCATATTCCTCCCTCTCATTTTCTATTTTTCTTTGTCTCTCCTACTGCACTCCTCCAGCGTTAGTCAGTGCTTAGTCACCAGCAGAAGGTCTCAGAAGTCCCTCCTCTGTTAAGGTTTCCTGGTGTTCCTCTCTGCTTTCCACTTCTGTTACTGCCTTTTTTATCTCGGCCCTAGTCATCGCAGGTGTGGCCCCTGGTGCTCAGGTCGTACCTTCTCCCTCTGACCATCATGTGGCTCTCGGAGATGTATCAGACATCATATATGTTTCTTTTAGTTTTATATTTCAGAAACATCCTTTTGGATCCTAAAGTTCTTCTGCCACTCAGGTTCCTTCAACAGTGCTTCCATTGCCAGAGGAGTCCAGACTTGTCAACCCAGATAAGGCCATTGTGGTCTGCCTCAATCTGTGTGCACTTCTTAAAACTTCTCATTTCATTTCTCCCTTTACCATTGTAAACATTGTCACGACACTTTAAAAAATGACTTCAGTTCATAAACTTCAGTGTGGCTTTGGCTTTGCTGGCTGGTTTTTCTCATCATAAATAGCACCT